ATGGTGAAAAACTGACTTTGAAAAAAATCTGTTCTTTTTTTCTTATAAAAGGTTAAATAAAACAAAAATATTGGTGGTAATTTTTGGCTGTGTAACTTTACAAATGGCACCCCATATTGACGATGTAAATTTTAAAGCGAACACTGAAACGAGTCTTATCTTCTCCGCTTCTCCACCTCAGTCACTCCTGATTTCGGCTTGAGGAGTCGAGGCGGACATGGAGAAGTACTTCACCATGAAGCTGCTGTGTGTTTGGATAAGACCCCCACACCCTGCTTTGTAGGACAGTCTCTCTCTGGAGTTGTGTTTTCAACCTGTCTGACTCTCAAAACTAAAAAAAACATAATGAGAAGGATGGACGGTGATCAAGTTATGATTCCTGCTTCTTAACAGGTTCAACCAAAAGCAAACTGATGCAGAATGAAAGCAGACGTGATCATCCCATTCTAGCACAGCAGCAGTGAAAACATAATCACATGAACCGCTAACACGCTGCAGCCGTCGTGATTATCCTCTGCAGATGGGTAAGTTTCAGAAAGTTAGCTTGTTCATCAGGTTGATACCTTTTAAATTTTAATTTCAGTGACTGGTCACAAAATGCTGTACCAACAGAAAACTGTGTTTTTTGGAAGCAGTGTGTTCAATACTTTTTCCCTGTGCCATTCCACATTATTACAAATAACTTCATTTCTGGACATTTAAGGTTTGATTTCTTTGTATGTATGGATCATTTGGGTTGTTACCGACATCTGGTGAAAATTTCATGTCATTAGCCCCTCTAAGTATATTTACTGAGAAAAATGGTGACGTGTTCAATACTTATTTTACCGCTGTAAGCTGCAGTGTGTGACGAACCAAAAGGGAGAGAGATCATGGACAGGAAGGCAGACGATAGTGAGCTGGGGTGTCATCTTCTCTGCGGGTGACTTATTGCCAGTAGGAAAGAAGAAGAATGATTTCATCGCTCGGTACAAAAAGAGGCAAATGAAAAAGATTAGCAGCGTGTGTGTTCAGCATCATAATTTCTGCGCACGCACGCATTTGTGCACATGCAAACACATGTCACCTGCCAGCAGACTCGGAGGTGAGACTGTGGCGGGCTGGTGTCAGCTTCGGATGAGTCAGACGAGTTGGCTCAGTGGATAGCTGGTATGAATAAAAGTTATTTTGGCCAACCTTGGTAACGACTGAATGATGCTTTCAGGAACAAGATGAGGCCAGAGTAAATCAGAGCCATGGCCATCAGTTCAGCCAGACGGGTACAAGAGTTATCGAGGATGAGAGGTTAAAGAGAAGACAAAAGGGTGAAATCAAAGGTGCCAAAAGTAACTCATGATAAAAACTTCAGAGTTACAGGGGTTAGACGATGAAACTGAAACACCTGTCATTTTAGTGTGGGAGGTTTCATAGCTAAATTGGACCAGTCTGGTGGTCAAATCTTCATTAATTGCACATTGCACCAGTAAGAGCAAAGTGTGAAGGTTCAATCAGCATGGTAAGAGCATAGTTTTGCTCAAAATATTGTAATGCACACAACATTATGGGTGACATACCAGAGTTCAAAAAAGGACAAATTGTTGGTGCACGTCTTGCTGGAGCATCTGTGACCAAGACAGCAAGTCTTTGTGATGTATCAAGAGCCACAGTATCCAGGATAATGCCAGCATACCACCAAGAAGGACCAACCACATCCAACAGGATTAACTGTGGACACAAGAGGAAGCTGTCTGAAAGGGATGTTCTGGTCTAAAACCAGGTGTTTCAGTTTCATTGTCTAACTATAGTTTTGTGGCATGATAAAGTTTTTAAAAGAGATCAAGCAATGAGCTAATGCTCATAGTGTGTGTTGGAGATGACCCACAGCTACTACAACACCAAACTTTAACTCAGTTTATGTAAAATGGAAAATAGTTTAGAAAATTTTGTGTTTGCTATGGTTGGTTAGCTTGGGGAGGCCATCTTGAATCAGGTTAACTCCAAAAGTTAATGAGAAGTAGATTTTTATCAAATTATTATTTTCTGAGAATTTCATTAAAATCCATCAACAAAGTTGTTGCCAAACCTTTAAACAAAGACAAAGCAGAATCTGTTAGCCCTCAGTACGGACCCTCTGAAGCCCACTCTGCCATGACGGACGTCAAAACAACCTCTGCACATAAAAGGACTGTAAGGACTGGCAGCCCTCGGTGTATTCACGGATTTGAAGCAAATCCTTTTTACAATGTAAGAAAATTAACGTTCATTTATTTCATAATAGAGCTGGACAATAATTCAACATCAACATATATAGTGTAGAAAATGTTTTGATAATGGGGATATGACTGTTAAAAATACAATTTATAGGCGTCATACCATTGCTTAGCAGTACCACTCTGTTCACTCTACGCTACCTACAACACAGCGCCAACATGAGCTCAACAGCTGTGGGTGAACAAGCATCCACAGCTGAAAAAGTAGATATGAAATGAAAAACTAAAATCAGTGGCGTGGACGTGTTCTGGGTTTTGAAGGTCTGATAAACTTCAGCTTTAAGTCTGCTGTAAAATGCGCTGGAGAGTGATGCTTACGAGCAGCGAGACCTCGTCAAATCTGTTCCACCATTTGAAAAAGTTCCACTCGACAAAGCTTTCTGAGTGTATGTGAATTACGCGCTCTAAAAGTTGAAGTCCTCCACCTGAAACATCCATGGTCATACTGGCATAAACAACTTGGGAAAACAATCGTAGTCACTCTGTTCAACCCTCCCCTCCCTCAGTTCTGACACCTGTCATGATGCCTCCACGTGATTAGGTGACATAATTGCACAGGGCCAGTATAAGTGCTGGGCGGTACACCGTTTTGTACCGAATACCAGTTTTTATTTTATTTTTTTATGATACAAATTTTCTGAATACCGGACATACCAGTTTGAATAGCCTGAACACGTGCGGAACATTTCGTCGTGGCCGCCAGTGAACTGTTTCCCGGGGTACACTTTTCCTCGCAGCACCGCTATGTGTGTTAGTAGCATGCTAATGTTTGGAGCAGCTTGTTGCAGTGGCAGGTGGAGATTCAGCTGCTTACTGTATATTGATTGATGTTAAAAAAAAAATCCTGTTTTCACCATCGCTGAATGTAATAAACACCTCTTCAGTGATGTGCATGGTTAGATTTAATGTGGTTAGTTAATATACATTATGCTGATGGAAACTTAACGTGGTTCTATTGTGAAAAGCCCGGGGGAAGTAGTTTGTAGTAGAATTGAAATTGACTGGTGTGCAAGGTGAGTCGTGCTGATAAGCTTTATTAAATAACAAAACTATAAACCCGATCATAATCTTTTCTTAACCCTCCTCCTTCACGACTGGACCAAAATGACTACTGTCTACAACCACCAGTCAGAGAAAAGACACATACAGGAGGGAAACAGTGACACAGACAGAGGTACAGTAAAAGAAAAAAGTTAGTAAGCAGTGTTTGTACATTTTATTATCAGCTGACCTGTGCTGAAAAGAAAAAATACTGTTGTATACCGTGAAACCGGTGATATAAAATTTGGGACACACTGCCCAGCTCTAGCCAGTATGTGTCAGGTCTGACTCTAAACTACCACCACACCAAATTTTAACTCAACATCTTTTAAATTGACTGAGTTATAGGCAGTGGAAGTTGATTTGCTGTGGTGGCCATCTTGAATCAAGCTGACTCCAAAGGTTAAACGGCTCTGCTGGTAGAGATGTTGCCTCTCAGCGTTAAGGTTGCCAGATTGAATCCTGGCCGGGACCTTTTGGGGTAGAGTTTGCATGTTCTCTATGTGCATGTGTGGGTTTTTCTGGTTACTCCGGTTTCCTCCCACAGACCAAAAACATGACTGTTAGGTTTATTAATAACTCTAAATTGTCTCTGGTGTGAGTGAGAGTGAATGGCTGTTTGTCTCTATGTGTGTCTCAGTGATGGACTTGAGACCTGTCCA